CCCCACCCAGCGTCCAGGAGCCATTAGCCCAGCCAAGCTCCCCCAACCCTGGCCACCCGCCCCCCAGGCCTGATAAGCCAGGCGTGGCTGACCTGTGCCAGCCCCCCCCAACTCCCTTTTCAGTCTGGCCTCACTAACTCTCAGGAATGGGCTCTCAGGCCCCTAGGGTGGGGGTGGGGGACTCTGAAACACTTCCCCAGGCAGAGAGGGCTGATCCGTGGTCCAGAAGCTATACCCCTTTGACCCTGGGAAGAGCAGCTAGAGATCAAGGCCCCACCCCCTTCCTGTCCAGCAGGCCCTGGGAGCAGATGTGGCCCACTTCAGTCTAACTCTTCAGCCTTTTCCTTTCCCAGTCCCTGGCTGTCCCTCCGCGATCCTTGCCAAGTCTGAGTCAGGAGTCCTGTCCTGGGGTCACCTCAGCCCCCAACTGCCCCTGGAACCTGAAGGAGCTTGGAGAAGATAGAGGGGGATGAGGATGTCTGGATTTCTGTCTAGGACATGCTGGATTTGGGCTTCCCCCACCCTCATAACTCCCCTGCCTTTCACAGACATGATCAGCGTGCGCTCTGGGGGTGGCCGTCCTGGCTCTGGCCCCCAGCTGGGCACCGGGCGAGGGACTCTACGGCTCCGATCCCGGGGCCCTGCCACAGTAGAGGACCTGGTGAGTGTTCCAGCTGGGCCCCAGCCCATCTTCCCTGCACATGCACAGGTAGCAGCATCGCCTGTTAGCTGAGGGGCTTCAGGCACTGGATGCAAACCCTCCTCTGCCTCCCCCTCGCTCTAGGACCTTTCTTGGATAAGTAGGTCTTATTAGTTTCCTTATCTGTAAAATGGGGGGTAATAATACTGATAATGTCAGGGTTGTCATGAGAATGAACTGTGGGTTAATATATAAAGTGGCAAAAAGAGACCTGGCACTTAGTGAATACAGTTCAGTTATAGTCACATTATTGTGATGCTGCTGTTTGTCCTCCCGTCCCACCTCTAGCCCTCGGCCTTTGAGGAGAAGGCAATTGAGAAAGTAGATGACCTGCTGGAGAGTTACATGGGCATCAGGGACACAGAGTTGGGTGAGTGGCTTACTTGAATCCGGGTAGAGGGGGAGGCTGGGGGAAGAGGCTTCCCGGTCCTGTGGACTGAGTCTACCTGAGCGAGCGCCTCTGCTATCCGTGCCTCCATTCTGCTCCCCCCACCCCCAGCGGCCACCATGGTGGAGCTTGGGAAGGACAAGAGGAATCCAGACGAGCTGGCTGAAGCCCTGGATGAGCGGCTTGGTGACTTTGCCTTCCCTGATGAGTTCGTCTTTGACGTCTGGGGTGCCATTGGGGACGCCAAGGTCGGCCGTTACTAGCCTTCCTACTGGACCTTGCGATGACCTGAGCCTGGCCTGGTGGGAGCCCCTGGCGTGGGGACACCACGGCCCAGGCTCCAGCATCTCCCTTGGCCTGGCCCTCGTCCTGGCCTTGGCTCAGCAGTCCCAGGATGATGTGGCGAGGAGGTGGGGCCGAGTCCCTGCCCCACTCCAATCGGTACCACCCCCTCCCTGGTTCCCAGCCTGGCTGGGGTCCCCAGATCCCCCCCACTCCCACCCTGTTCCCCACCTACCTCAGCCAGGTCAGACTCTGGGAAGAACCAGCCAGATTGGGCAGCCAGCCCCCGCCCCCAATACTTTCCACATCAGCTGCCAAACTGGTTTCTCTGTCTCCCTGGGGCCTTGGGTTCTGTTTGGGGATCCTGACCTCCCTGGTTTCCTAACATAGGGGACCCCTTGGCAAATGCAATAATCCCCCCTTTCCTGCCACCCCCCCCCCAGAGGAGCTCCCTACCTCCACATTTGAAACATGAGTCTGCTGTGAAGCCCCAACCTCCCCACCCCACACCTGTCTCCCTCAGCCCAGCCCCAGACACACAGGGATGAGGGATGACGGCGGTGGGCTTTTGTATCTGAATTTGCTGTCTGGAACATAAAGACTCTGCTGTTGGACCTGTCTGGTGGCCTTGGGGTGGGTGTGTGGGGCAGGCCCAGGCTGGGAAAGAATGTAGCAGCTGAAATCCATCCTCCTAGGGCTCCAGATTGAATTAGGAGCTGGCCCTGGCCTCCCGCCCCCTCCCACCCGTTCCGCCTGATGAGTCTCCTGGCTGTGGGCCACTAGGCTTCCAGGCAAGGCCCGAGCATTCTGGCCTGCCGAGGGTTCAAGTCTGGCTCCCTTTGAAACAAGGCCTCCTGCCACCTCAGCCTGATGTGAACACTGGGCACAGGCTGCTGGCTGTAGCCCAGGGTTGTGGGGAGCCCAGGACTGGGAGGAGTGGAGGCCTGGCTTGTAAAAAGAAAGGTGGGGGAGGGAGCTCAAACAGAGCCTCAGGCCTGCTGGGGTGAGCGCTACGGTGAGGAGCCCACTCCCGAAGCTGGGGAAGCAGTCTGGTGCTGCCCGCACAGCCTGGCTGGATGTGCAGCGTCTGCGGGTGCTCGTGGTGGGCCATGCCACGCCCTGGACATAAACCCGGCCTGCTTGTTTTGACAACCCACTTGATCCTTGAGGATTGAAGGGGGTTGGGGAAGGGGGGTCGGCGGGACCCTGGCCAGACTTGGAGGGATGAGCCAAGACTGAAGGGAGGGGAGCCAGCTAGGCCAGAGGTCCCTGCAGGAATGTTGGAGGGTGAGCCGAGACGGGAAATGTGAACCCAGTGCACTCCACATTTCTACTGGGTGGGCGATTGGCCCCCTGGGGTGGGGAAGGCCGGGGAGCCACTGGGCTAGGGGTGCATGGCTGTATTCTCTGGTGGGACGGGGCAGCGGCTGTTGGGGTTACTCTGTGCGTTCTTGGACACCTGTGGGTGTTTCAAGTGTCTGGTTTGAAGGTGTAGGGGGGAGTGTTGAGAGTAGGGCTATGTGTCAGAGTGTTGATGTGTGACCACACTGAGGACTGTAACTGTTGAAGAAAGCGGGGGCAGTGACTGTGTGCCAGCGTGTCTGTAGGTGTAACTGGCAGTGTCTGCATGGAGTGTGGCTGTGTGACTGCAGAGCTGTGAGTATGCGTGTGTCTGAATGTTCCGCTTTCTAGCGTAAGGGGCGACCGGCAAGAACTCAGGGTGTCCAGGGACTCCTTGTGCCCGTGGAACTTGTCTTGGACTATGAAAGGGTATCTCCGGGTGATACGGATATGGCGGGGGTTCTGTATCAGCAGTAAGGATCTCAGGGGCTGCATTTCAGGATGTGGAGAGGAGTGGCCAGTGTGAGTTGGTAACTAAGGGGATGTCTCTGGTGCTGGGGGTGCAAATGTCTCGAGTTCAAGGGTGTGGCAATGGCTGACCCCAAGGCTCTGAGGAATGTGGCTGGCTGGGGACAGGCGGAGATGGTGGCCGGTCTCAGGGTGTTAGGGGATATGATAGTGTGCCTTCAGATGTGAGACTGTGTGTGTGTCCCTACCTCTCAGGGCAGGAGGTGAGGCTTCCGCTGTGGGTCCTCAGGTGTGTCCCAGGTGTCGTTCACCACATCCCGAAGCAGGATCTAGGAGAGTCCCCCGGTCTCTGCGCCTCCTCCTCCTTCCCTCCATGGGTATGACTCTGCTGCCCAGGCCTGGGCTTTAAGCCCCTTTGTAAATAGTGGGCGGATCTTGTGGCCTGGCTGGGCCTGACCCAAACTAGTCCACCCGAGGCACTGCCCACTACCTCCACCCAACACCCATGCAGGCTCTGGCAGGGCGAAAGAGTGCTGCTGCCCCCACCGGGGTTAGCCTCTCAACCCCGCAGCCCCGAGGGTGCAGCGGCACCCCCTGCAGTCACCCCAGCCGGCCCCTGGTGACGCTCACATTTTCCAGTGTTTAGATTTTATCCACTTTATTAATGAGGCAAGCGAGAGGCCTGAGCCTGAGGGGAAGGGGGGTGCTCGTGCCCAGCCAGGCGGAGGGGATCACAGGGGGGGCCAGGACAACGCCCTAGGAGCACCCCTTTCTCATAGGAGAGCTGGGGCCCAGAGTGGTCCCCACCCACTGCCAGGAGCACAGAGATGGGGTCTCTGCCACCCGGGCCCCCAGCGGGCTGGTGCTGGGTGGAGCGGCCCCCTGGAGGCCTGAGTGGGCAGCGGGAGGAGGCCAGGAGCTGAGGAGCCGCCCCTGTGGGAAGGGAGGGAGGAAGCGGGCTGCCGGAGAGCTCGGGCGCGGCAGGAGGTGCAGCAGGCAGCAGGGACTAAGCAGCAGGCGATGGGGACCCAGTGTCCCAGGCACCACCAGGTAAGAAGGCTGGGGTGCAAGGATCTCAGGTGGGGCTGGAGGGCAGGAAGGATGGGACCATGGTTCCCTCTGCCTGCCTGTCCTGTGTTCCTTGACTCAACCCTCCGTCTGTCCCTGTCGCTCTTTCCATCTGTCCATTCTCCCTTCCCATCTGACTCAGGGGGCCGTTCTGCCCTCTCTGCCCTCACCACTGGGTATCAAGGAATGGGTGGTCCTGGGTCAGCCTGGAGGCCTCTCAGGCAGGGACAAGGATTTGGCAGGAGTGGAACGCTGGGGCACCCAGGGGGAGGCAGCTGTGGTCGGCGCAGGGCCTTAGTGAGAGACAGCGATGGAGCTCAGAGATGGGAATGTGGGGCACAGAAATGCAACCATGGGGATAGAAGTGCATCTGTTGGGACAGAGAGGTGGCCATGGGGTCAGCAGTGGGACCATGTGGATAGAGACAGTGCAACAGGGAGAGATGGGTCCACAGTGGCAAAGATGGAGCTGTGGGTATCAAAGATGGGACTGGAGAAGTGACATGAATGTCAGAGATGGGGGAGTGGGGCCTTGGGATCAGAAATGGGTGAGTTATCAGAAGGGACCAGGGCCAGGAATTTAATGTGGTGTAAATGGGAGGTGGGTCTGTGAGGCCCAGAGGCTATGACAGACAGGAGGGCTAGAGCAGCGGAGCCACGGTGAGTCTGGGAGCAAGAGCTGGGATGGTAAGGAGTCAGGCCTGGGCAACAAACGTCATTGGAGTTGCCATGGGGTCCCACGGGCTCTAATGCTCAGAGAACGGACCATCAGCTGGTCCCAACAGTGGGCGCTGTGCCCGGGGCCAGTCTCAACTTGCCCTCTTCTTCTCCCCAGCCCCACCCCGGCACCTGACATGAACCCTTACGGCCCCCTCAACCTGAGCCTAGAGAGCGAGGTGACCACATGCACAGCGCCTGGGCCCCCCAACGCGTCCGCTGGGCCCCCGTCGGGCCTCGGGGGTGCCTCGCCGGCGCTACCCATCTTCTCCATGACGCTGGGCGCGGTGTCCAACGTGCTGGCACTAGCACTGCTGGCTCAGGCTTCAGGCCGCCTGCGCCGCCGCCGCTCAGCCGCTACCTTCCTGCTCTTCGTCGCCAGCCTGCTGGCCACCGACCTCGCGGGCCACGTGATTCCGGGGGCGCTGGTGCTGCGCCTGTACGCGGCGGGGCGTTCACCTGCCGGAGGCGCCTGCCACTTCCTGGGCGGCTGCATGGTCTTCTTTGGCCTGTGCCCACTGCTCCTGGGCTGCGGTATGGCGGTAGAGCGCTTCGTGGGGGTCACGCGGCCTCTGTTGCACGCGGCGCGAGTCTCGGTGGCCCGCGCACGCCTTGCGCTGGCCGCGCTCGCCGCGCTGGCCTTGGCTGTGGCGCTGCTGCCGGTGGTGCGTGTGGGTCACTACGAGCTGCAGTACCCCGGCACGTGGTGCTTCATCGGCCTGGGTCCGGCGGGCGGCTGGCGCCAGGCACTGCTTGCCAGCCTCTTCGCCGGCCTCGGCTTGGCTGCACTGCTCGCCGCGCTCGTGTGCAACACGCTCAGTGGCCTGGCCTTGCTGCGCGCCCGCTGGCGCCGCCGCTCTCGACGGCAACCCCCGACCTCAGGCTCCGACAGCAGCAGGCGCTGGGGCGTGCGCGGACTGCGCTCGGCCTCCGCCTCGTCCATCACTTCAGCCTCCGCTGCCACCGGCGGCATCCTAGGCCGTGGCTCAGCGCGTAGAGCCCGCGCCCACGACGTGGAGATGGTGGGCCAGCTCGTGGGCATCATGCTGGTGTCGTGCATCTGCTGGAGCCCACTGCTGGTGAGGGGCGCTCCGGCCCTTCCAGCCATACTTTTCCCCACTCCCATCTCGGCCCCTCCTGCCCTTTCCCTTTGGAGAATACTTGGGTCCTTTCTCCCCTCTCCATCCAGGGCCCCGCCTCCTCGAAGCCCCACCAGAAAAGAGCCCGCCCTTTGCCGGCTCCCTCTGACGTCCCACTGCTCCCTGCCCCTTACTCGTACTCCTCAGTCTTTGCAGTTCTCCCCAACGCCCACACGCCTCCTCCCCAGCCTCACCCCTCTAGGTCCGATGCTTCATCCCAGCCCCCTCCTCTGCCCCACCCCGTTCTTCTCCTCCCCTCCAGTCTCCTGGCCTTCGGAACACCTGGACTTCTCTCCTTTCTAGCCCAAGCCCCCACCCAATGAAGGCCTTTGCTCGCTGCACCCTTTATGCTCCTTCGGCAGTCTTTCCATTATCTCCTTTTAACAAGGCACCCGTTACCCCCTGATGCTCCGCCCCTTCTCACAGCCCCCTCACCTTCCAGTCGTGCTCCCACCCATCCCAGCCCCACCCTTCGCTGGTCCCCTTCTCTCACACCCACCCCACCGCTCACAATGGCTTCTTCCACAGGTGTTGGTGGTGTTGGCCGTCGGGGGCTGGGGCTCTAGCTCCTTGCAGCGGCCACTATTTTTAGCCGTGCGCCTCGCTTCGTGGAACCAGATCCTAGACCCCTGGGTGTACATCCTGCTGCGCCAAGCCGTGCTGCGCCAAGTGCTTCGCCTCCTGCCCCCGAGGTCCGGCGCCAAGGGTAGCCCCGTGGGGCTGAGCCTAACCAGAAGCGCCTGGGAGGCCAGCTCGCTGCGAAGCTCCCGGCACAGTGGTCTCAGTCACTTCTAGACACACCCTGAGGCCCGGCAGCTAAGGTAGACCACTCTGGCCGGGGCAAGGTCCGCAGCGTGGAGCCTTCGAGGAATAAAGCCATTCTGTGGACCAGCCCAGGGCAGTGTGTCCGGCTGGGGCCGCAGCACGCCTGTGACCGCCGGAGGGGGAGGGGTGGCAGAGGCACCGGGTGCTCCTCTGGGGGTGCAGTGCCGGCACTTGCCACGCGGGGGCCCAGAGACGCCAAGCCGGAGACAGCGGAGCCTGTGCCAAAGGTCGGGACCACAGGCCAGGGCGCCGGGCTCCACTGGAAGCAGAGCGAGATAGTTGCAGCGCCTTTCTTGCCCCTGCCGGTTGCCAGGACTGTCTCCCACAGCCGTTTGCCCAACGTGGCTCTGAGCTCCCCAACACAGCCGCAAGACCGTATCCCCAACCTCGCGCTCCATCGCTGCCTCTAATTCCATACGTCCCTCAACAGCCCCGAACCCCCTCCCTCCGCAGCCTGTCCATGCTTCCCACCACAGTGGCAGCTCCGAGTCCCCACCCTCCCTTCACCCTCTTCACATAACCCCCTACCATAACCCAGGACGTTTCCTCGTCATTCCTAAGCCCCCCACCCCCTCATCCCATCTCTGATCACGGCCCACCATTCCCATTGCTGCGAACAAGAAGAGCCGGGGATGCATGGAGAGGGCAAACCCCAAAGGCATTTTTAAAAACTAACAACAGCTGGATGGGAGCAGGGACAAGAGAGAGGGCTAGCAGTCCCCCGCCACAAAATCAAAGTCCCGGAAGGCCGCCTGCTCCACGGCCGTGAGGGGCCGTGCGTCCCGAGGCGGGCTCAGCGTGGGGGCCTCCCCTGTGAACTCCTCGTCGAAGTTGCTGACATCCGTGCGACCCGACAGCGTGGGCACAAAGGGCGGCGGCAGGCGGCGGGCCAGCAGGGCGTCCCAACCGAGGGTCTGCATGGGGCGTGGGGGAAGGTCAGTGTGGGGTTGGGGCACAGATGGCTTGGGGGGCCATGCGCCCCATCCAGCCCTGGATCTGAGGAGATCTACCTGAGTCACAAGATAGAAGGGAAAAGTCGGGGAAACTGAGAGCTCACGAAGGATCACAGGGTGAGCGTGGGCTTACACACAGGGCAGTGGTTCCAGCCAGGGCAGCCTGGAGTAGGTGTGGGTATAGGAGGGTCAGCGGGGTGACAAGGCTGTAGGTAAAGCAACGAGGACTTAGGGGAAGATAGCCAGGCCCTGAGGGGGGGAAGGGGGCTCACCCTGAAGAAGGGCTGTTTCTTCACATCCTCTGCATCTCTCTCACTGGACCCCAGCCTCCGCTCTGGATTCCTCCGCAGCAGCTGGAGGGGTGGGGCATTGTTAGCCTTCCCCTTTGGGACCCCAGAACCTCGCCTCAGGCTCACCCGAATATGGAGGGTCCTCACCCTGCGCATGATGCCAATGGCTTCAGCTGACAGGAATCGGGGGTAGCGAACCTCATCATTGACGATGCTGTCAAATACTTCTTCCTCGTCATCCCCTGGGAAAGGGGACTGCACGCATAGGAAGAACAAGGCGAATGAATTAGGTACCTCAGGCCATGCCATGCCCAGGCCCACCCGAGCCCTCCACTTGGGCTGCAGTTCTTCACATGAAGGGCAAGTCCCCATTTTACAATTTGAAAACAGACCAGGGAAGAGAAGCCACCTGCCCCAGATCATACAGCATGTGGTGGAGCCAGATTCTGATTCCACCCCTGGGCACGTGCAGGTTCCAGTGCCATCCCCAGAACAAGCAGGGTGGGTGCAACCTGGGGCCTCACCTCACCAACCAGCATCTCATAGAGCAGCACGCCCAGCCCCCACCAGTCCACAGCCCGCGTGTACGATGTGTCTGTCAGCACCTCGGGTGCCAGGAACTCCGGGGTTCCACAGAATGTGCTGGTCCGGTCCCCATAGCCCATCCCTGGGGCAGCAGGTACATGTGAGGTTATTGAGGGGCGGGGTGGGGGTCCAGCCAGCCTTGTCCCAGGATCAAAGGTGGGGTTGTGAGATAACCTTGGTAGGGTTGGGGACTCCATTCCTTCCCCCCACCACCAACTCTGTCTAAAGCCCTCAGATATCCATCCCACCCCTCACCCTCCTTGCAGAGGCCAAAGTCTGCGATCTTGACATAGCCCTCGGTGTCCAGGAGCAAATTGTCCAACTTCAGGTCCCTGTGAGGGGTTGGGGGGACATAGAAGAGGGATGAGTGGGAATGGGGGCCCTGCCTAAGGGCTCCCCCATGGGCAGCATGCACGCACAAGCACGTGCATGCGCGCGCACACACACACACCTGTAGACGATCTTGTGTTCATGGAGAAACTGCAGCCCCAGCACCACACAGGCTGAATAGAAGCTGCAGAGAGAGGCTGGTGTCAGGGAGCCAGGCCTCCCCACAAGAAAGATCATATAAACCTGGTTGTCAAATCCTCAAAAGTCCTGTTCCCCTAGACTCCAGGGGCTGGGGGTAGGTGGGGTCTCCAGGGGAAGGAGCGGGAAGGGGGCCGAGGCATGGGGAGCAGGGCGGTGGGAAGCGGGGGGCTAGGCTCACACAGCACGGGGTTCGGAGAAGACGTCACTGTGGATGTGCAGCATCAGGTCCCCGCCAGCTGAGTACTCCATCACGAAGCACACGTGCTCTGGTGTCTGGAAACAGCCAAACAGATTCACCAGGAAGGGGTGTCCCGCGCTGGTCACCGCTGCCAAGATCCTCTTCTCACACATGAGGCTGGGCAGGGTAGGGTTAGGGGTCAGAGAGCACCATAGCTCCCTACCCACAACTCTCACATACCCTAGGGTCCTTAAGAATCAGGTATTTATTGAGGGCCTCTAATGGCCATGCAACTTTGGGCATATTGCTCAATATCTGGGAACCTCAGCAGCCTCATCTACTAAAAAGGCACCTAGAATCCATCTGACATCCTAGTAACAGACTCCCAACTTCCTTTTGGGAAGGTGGCCGGGGTGAGCTGATTGAAGCACCCCATCTCCCTGGCCAGGAATTGATCAGGAATGAGGAAGCCGAGCCAGTGGGACTCAATCAATCTGCTAAAATTTTTAAAAAATAACTTTATTTACTTGTTTTTAGATAGAGGGGAAAGGAGGGAGAAAGAGAGGGGGAGAAACACTGATCAATTGCCTCTTGTACACACTCCAGCCAGGGACCGAGCCTGCATCCCAACCATGTGCCCTGACTGGAATCAAACTAGTCACCTTTCACTTTGCAAGATGATGCTCAACCAACTGGGCCATGCCAGTCAGGGCTCTGCTGGAATTTTTAAGGAAGAAGGGCTAAAGCTGGTGGATGAACCTTAAACTCCTGGGGTGGGGGTCATCTCTGTCCCCATGAGGGGACTGCAATCAAAGCCCGCACAGGAAAGTAGAACAGAGACAACATCTGAGCACCTGGACATAGCCATGCCTGAAGGCAGACACCGATGGACGTTTCTGAGCCAGAGCAATAAATTCCTCTATTTGCTTAAGCCTATCTGAATTGGGTTCCTGATTAACAAAAGGATGTCAGGAAGATCAGTGTTTCTACTAGGCATTTACAGGGGGCCAGGCACTGTGCACAATGCTTTAAATTCACTTTCTCATTTAATCCACCTGATTACCTTGCAAGAAAGGCATTATCACTCCCATTTATAGATGGAGAGGCTGAGGTTCAGAAGGGCCTGCCCAGGATCTTTAAGCATGTCTGTCGCAGAGATGGGATTTGAACCCAGGGACCAGACCCCAAGGCAGAGGACATGTAATGGCACCATTAAGGGCACAGACTTCAGGGCCCGAGTCCCCACATTTGAATAATCCCTAAACTGCTGCTTACTGGCTGGGTGACCTCAGGCAACTTGCTCACCTTCTCTGTGCCATCAGCAGAATGGGAGCAGTAACAGTATTTGCGCCAAAGGGCTGTTGTGGGGAACAAATGAGTTACTAAATATAAAGTACAGAGTGGGTGTTTTCTAAGGGTTATTACTATCTTATGGGCTAGCTTAGTAAATGTGAAAAGAAAGGCTGCTATGTCTCCCATTTCCCAGAAGACTGATGTTCTCAGAGGGCCTGAGCAGGGTCCCTACCTCTCAACCTCATCTCGGGCCACAATGTCCCCTTTCTTCAGAGCCTTGATGGCGAACAGCTCCCCGCTGGGCCGGAACTCAGAAAGCAGCACCTGGAACCACAGTGGGCAGGGGTGGCCTTAGCAGCCAGCCCAGGGCGCAAGGGTACAGACTCCCACCCCTTGTCCCCATCTCACCTTCCCAAAGTGACCCCGGCCCAGGACCGCCAGGAATTTGAAATCCTCAAGGGTCAGGGGTGACTTCCTGAGAGGGCTATAGAGAGAAGACACTGGTGGGGACAGGGAGAGTAGGTGGGGGTGGTAGGTAGTGGGCAGGGGAGGGGTGTCACCTGCACAGGGTGGGGCCTGGGGTCTCCTGGGTCTCCGAAGGCAGCTCAGATATGGTGCTTGTGTCCTGGATTGGCGAACTCTGTGGCAAAGAGAGAGGGTCAGAGTAAGGGAGGTCAAAGGCACCCCATAACGACCATAGCCACCAAGGCTCTTGTCACCTCTCCGACCTCACGTCTCCTCCTGCTTGCCCCCTTATTCCCTCCTCTCTAGCCACAGGTTCCTCTCACTGTGCCCTGAACAGACCAGGCATGTTTCCACCCCAGTACCTTTGCATGGGCTGTTCCCTCTGCCTAGAACTCTCTTCAAGACACCTGCACAGCTCCTCCTTTACCTCCTTCAGGACTTTATTCAAATGTCCCCTTCATGGGTGATCAGCTGAGCACTCCATTAAATAACAGAATCCCCCAACACCAACACTATGTCCGCCTTCTCTGCTATTTTTCTCTCCAGTACATTTCATGCTGTAAACATATTTTATCATTTATCTACTTATTCCCTTTAAATTTTAAAAGATGTTATTTATTTAGAGGGGGAGGGGAAGAGAGGGAGAAAGAGAGGGAGAGAAACATCCATGTGAGA